GCGGGGAATCTCGAGAGGGTCCAGAGGAGGGCCACTTGCATGATTAGTGGCTTTCGTGATAGACCCTACGGGGGGAGGTTGAGAGAGCTGAATCTCTTCAGCCTTCACAAGAGACGGCTGAGGGCAGATCTTGTGGCTGCCTATAAATTTCTTAGGGGAGGTCAACGGGAATAGGGGAAGCGCTGTTTACTAAGGCGCCCCAGGAGTGACTAGGAATAAAGGGTGAAAACTAGTAGGGAGTGGATTTAGGTTAGATATTAGGAAGAAATGTTTCACAGTAAGGGTGGCCAGGATCTGGAATGGGCTTCCAAGAGAGGTGGTGCTATCACCTAGCTTGGAGGTCTTCAAGAGGAGGCTAGAGAGTCACCTGGCTGGGGTCATCTGACCTCGGTCCTCTTTCCTGCCAGGGGCAGGGGGTCAGACACGATGATCCATTGTGGTCCCTTCTGACTACAATCTATGAATCTATGAATCTGCTAGGATAAGGCCCTGCCATTGCCTGGCAGAGGCAACTTGCTCACTGCAGGGTGGATATCATGGGTGACTTCCCAGTCAAGCAGGCAGCAATGCTGCATATGAAATGCGTGCAGCCAACTTATGAGAGCCAGGGGTTTGTCAGAAACCTGGTGGTGGCTGGAGGCTTGGTAGCCCCTCAGTGGCCTTCTCTGTACTTGAGTTATGTGAAGCTATGAACTTACACTCTTGGAGGTTGTCAAATGAGCTATGGGGGAGGCTGAGCTCATGATTGCAATGTGGGGCTGTTGGTTGGGATGCCATCCCACAGGCAGATCCTGAGTGGGGGAATCAGTCTTCCAAGCTGCCCCTGCCCTCTCCAACTGGGCTGCACAGGGGTTGGGCTCAACTAAGGCAGCCACTGCTGCAGCGGATTCCCTGCCTGCTCCTGGGGATACCAGGCAGCATGAGTGACACCACCACCTCCCTACTGCTTGTGCTGCTGCCGTAGCTGAGCCCAGCCTCTGCGCATCTAGGCTGGACAGGGCAAGAGCAGCTCTGAAGCTTCCCCTATGCCCAGGACAGCCAGGAAAGCAGCAGTGACTAGAGAACGAGAGGATCGGGGGGAGGGGAGGGGAGGGGAGGGGAGCTTCCCTTGCACACAAAGAGGAAGGCAAGGATGCTTACCTGCTTTGGGGACTTTAAAAAGCCCCCAAAGGCCCCTACAGCCTGACTTTCCCCCACCAGTGGGTTGCGGAGGAGGAGGCGGGGAGAGGGAGGTGCAGTCACCCTGGAACGAAGTGGGCTGCTCCCCCACTCTGCTTTGCCAAACCCTGGACCCACCCCTATGCAGTCCCTGCACTAGACAATCCCACACAGCCCCTGCCTCCCCTGTGCCTGGCTTGAGTCAGCTCTGGGAGCCCCTAGTGTTCCTGAGAGCTGCAGAGACTCTCGCACCTTAGCGAAGGAACACAAGTTGGACACTTGGCCTGGGGGCTGGACTAGGAACTAGGAGACTTTAGGTGGAAAGGAAGGGTTGGGAGGATGAGAGAAAGGGGCTGAAATGTGTTAGATGAACCTGAAGAAAGGGCCAGGCTGGGATGAGGAAAAAGGGCCAATGGCACAGGGCAGAGCCTTCTCACCGTGTTTCCATTCCCTGCACATGACCCTCTGGGCTGTGACCCCTGTGGCTGCCCTGAATGTTCCATGCGTGTGAACACTGCACCTGCCTGCCTGGGTTCAAGTCCAGCACCCGAGAGCGCTACTTCAGCGATTTCATGGTCTCCTGTGGTGGTAAAAGAGGCTCCTGTGCTAGTAGTATCTGCATGTTACATGCATTACACAGTCACCTGATTGATGGCACAATTAATTCAGACACACTACATGTGCAAATTTACTGTCATGCCATAAAAAGCTCCATCCAGCTATGGAGTTAAAGCTGGAAAATAGTTACTAACCTTATAGGTGTTTTCTATCCAGCTTGAATTTGAATGGGTAGCTATGCCCCCCAGTTGGCAGCTCTGTCAGCTGATGGGAATCCCAGCTGCAGGGGTGCACTGTGCACTGCACAGACAGCTGCAGATAGGAGTGTCATCATCTCTGGGACTCACAGAAGCAGGAGCTGGTGCAGAGGGATCCTGGGATGGCCATCCTGGGCTCAGCCTACACTGGCAATAAGGTGTGACAGAATGTGATGCCAGATCCCTTAATCACAACACATGCCAAACCCCACCTTTCCTGCCATGTGTGCCCAGAGCATTCTGCTTCTTGCACCAGCCCCTGATCTGTCTCCAGCCCCCCTGCTCTCCCAGCAGGTTTCCTTGTCCACAGCCACAGCAGATACTTATTGGTATCATCATCAGGGCTTCAGGGTCATAGGTCACTTTGTCTGCATTGGCAATGGATCTCTTCTCGCATTGCAGATATTAATGAGTATAACATTCTTCACCTTGGAAAGTGTGGATCGCACACACAGCACTGCAACTTCCCGGGATGTTTCTTTTGCATATGCACACCAGGGTTTATGGCTGAACCTGGCAAAGAGAACTTCACAGATGCAAATGGGAACATGTGCCAGTATAAGGACCCCACACCCCCCCACCTTCACTTGGCAGAGTCCACATGCTCACTGCAGCGCTGGCTCTAGACCCTTGTTCTGGTTAGGGTCCAGGCCACATCTTCCAGAGACACCTGTCCTGAAGGGGTGTTTTCACATCAGACTCTCCAGGTCCGTGCTGTGCTGGAGTCTCTCAGGAATACAGAGGTCTCCTCTCAACCCCTGCAATTGTATCCCATGCCTCAAGCAGCAGGGACAGACTGAGACCTGCCCATCTTCCTAAAGCCTGCATCTCAAAGCCGTGTCCAACCAGAGCACCCTGGGCCTTGCACACTGCCCCACACAGGCTCCACCTCCTCGTACTGCAGCAGGGCTCAGAGTTCCCAGCCCAGGGGCGGCTCCCTAGGTCCCTTCGTACTGTACCACTGTTCCCTGCCCCAGGTCCATGCCAGTGGTGAAGGGAAGTAGTCTTGTCTTGGACACAAACAGGGTCCCCTCTTCTGCTACAGACATCAAGAGTGTGTAGTACTTGGGCATGAAGCTTGCGGACACAGTGCTATTTGCCACAATGTCGCTGGAACATACCGCTGCAGCTGTGTCCAAGGATTCGCGCTGATCCTGGGAGAGAGAACTTCACAGGGGCTAGATGGAACACCTGCCGGGGCAAGGACCCCTGCTGCTCCCCTTGGCCTGGGAGAGGGTGGTGCTGAGCTGTCATTGTCTTACTCCAGCTGCCTCCCATGTCAGTGGCACAGTCCTGGCTGGGGACAGGTGGGACCATGTACTAGCCCCCCTCACTGCACACATCCTGAGGGGGAGGAGAGATACCAGGGCCCCTCAGGCATAGGACAGGCTGTCTAAAGTTTGAAGTCCACTACAAAGGGAGCAACCGACTCCTGCTTCCAGCTCCTCAAATTGCTCCTTCACCTCACACTTGCCTTCCAGGGCTCCCAGGCTCAAAAGGCTCCAGACATCAGCTGTGTGTGCTCTGACTCAGGACAGCTACTCAATGGGCTGCCTTTGATGTTTCCCTTCTTAGATCATGACGAATGTTATGGATCTCCTGCCATCTGTGGGCCCCGAGCCCAATGCTACAATACTATTGGCAGTTACCGCTGTGCGTGTGCGCCTGGACATATTCCCTCCACTGGCTTTGGGACCTGGGTACATAACAAGACCATGTGTGAAGGTTGGTTTCCCCCATGTATGTAGAAGCAGGTCTGTTTGCAGGATGGATGGAAATTTCTTGGTCCATGAAGCACAAAGTGATGTGGACTGATTTCTCCTCATTCATGGAAGGGTACCATTGAGTGGTCAAGGGGGCCCAGGACCATGGGAGAGATACAGGACCCAGGAACAGAGGGTGGAAAGGGTGGAGAGCGTGGGGCAAAAAAGAGTCTGAAAGGAGTGGGGAGCAGAAGACAGAGTGAGTCATAGTGAATGGGAGACAATCTACACAGCTGCCAATATGTGACCAAGGAAAGAGCAGCCATCGGGGCTGGGGGCAGAAGGCGGATTCCCCTGAATGGGATCGGATGGAAAAGTTGTAATATCTGGTCCTTTTTCTCCCTTCACAGAAGTCCCCACCGCTAACTGCAGTACTGCGTTTGAGGCCGTCACAGAGATGTGCAGGAATTTCTCTCTACAGGTGCCTTGAACTGATTGTCACAGATGGGCCCTGAGCCAGCTTCAGGGTCTCAGTTATAGCCCCTGAACTGGGAGAGTCCACTTTTGCCCCCGTGTCCCTAAGGGATACCACTGTCATGTGGAGCGCATGTGAGGCCCTCTCGCTCACAAGACGCCTCCTTTCCTGTCCCCAGGAAGCAGACCGCTCTTTCAGTTCCCTTCTGAACATCTCAGCCCGACCCGGCTGCAGTGAGGAGGAGGTGACATTGGCCGTGACACTTCTGCTACAGAACATGGAACTGGCTGCTCTGGCCACTGCGTTGAGGTCCCCAGAGGTGACACAGACCAAAGAGATGGAGTCCATGGGTGAGGAGAACGCATGGGCATGGAGCATGGATACCATAGAGTAGGGGGTTCAATCCTGCAGTCAGTGCAGACACACAGGAGCACTGCCCCATCCCGGAGACTGGTCATGACCCCAAAGAGCATCAGCAGCTGCCAGAGACAATGTAATGCCCATTCATGTCCTGCCATGGGGCCTGGCCAAGGCCATTCCATCCAAGAGCTACATATATGAGTGGAGTGGAGATGCAGCATGGCTGGGTGCCCAGGGACGGGACACACAGAACATGGGGAGGGGAATAAAGACATGAGCCCTGAACCCACCCCAGCCCTATAGGTAAGGAAGGCCCCACAGGTGAGAAGGAAGCATGGAGCAGGGATCCAGCCTTACAGAGAGGGACACCCAGGAAGGGGTTTCACAGCCAGGAGTTCTCCTGCTTCTTCCCCCAGCTCTGGAGACACGCCGCATCACAGGGACCTGCAGCCAGGACAGCGAGGTCTTTGTGCTGAGAGCCCAGGAGCAGGCAATGGAAGTTCACTGCAGCATAGTCAGCGATGCCGCTTCCCAAGGTACCATCTGAGCCATGTGGGGCATAGGGAACCAGCCCTGGAATGGAGCAGCACAGATCCATGGGACTTTCCCTGCTGAGAAGGCACCAGTCCCAGCCCTGCTTCTCCTCTTCCATCCCTGCCTGGAGCCTCCTCTGAGCTGGGGCTCTTTTCTCGGTCTGGCACTAGACAAACCTTGGGGGCTGCCCCAGTGCTCCTGTCACTACAGAGACCTTCATTCCTGGCAGTCTCACCACCTGAGGACTGAGCAATGGGGGAGGTGGAAAGGGGGATGAAGTGGGTCAGAGAATGGGAGGGGAAGTGCTAGTTAGTGGCTAAAGAGTCAGGATTGGAGCTAGGACTCATCTGGGACCAGCCCCATCATGCACTAAGTGTGACCTTGGCCTTGGATTGCTCTTTTGTTGCTTCTCACCCACTCAGGTTCTGGGGCTGCTGTTTTTATCTCTTACTCCACCCTTGACTCCATCATGAACAGTCCCATCTTCCAGAAAACTTTTGTACCACCTGGCCAGGCCCTGAGGAAAGCACAGCTGCTGTCCCGGGTGGTGAGTGGGGTCATTAGACCTCAGAAACTCAATCTCCAGCTCTTGAGACCTGTGAAAATCACCCTGCTCCACACACAGGTATGTGTTGAACCCCTTTCTCTGACTTTTTTCTGGGCTCAAGGTGGGCATTGGCAGGGATGTCTGCTCCTGGGGGTTTATATCGTGCTGCCTTACCAGGCTGTTAGTCACTGAGAAATTGATGGAGCCTCCAGCCTTAATCTTGGTGCCCCAGACCTATTCTTCTGGAGGAGGATCTGTGGAGTTGACCCGTGTCACAGTCTGTTCTAGTCAATCGTGTAACAGGGTCTGGGGTAGGAGCTATGCCCAATTCGCCTGCTGCCCAGGAGAACTTAAAGCAACTTTCCAATTATATTAGGACTCAGAGTGTGCTGGCAGGTGGACTCATGCTTCTTCCCTTGACCACAGCTGCTCGGCTATGTCCCATTGCTGCAGTGCTAGTGGCCAGTGAGGGCTTTCCTGTACCTCAAGCAGCAGGGCCTCTATTACAGGGCAGCAAATCCAAGGTCTGTCTCCAGAGTCACCAGGGAGCCCTGTGTAGGTGCTGGGTGCCGCGCTGGGGTACCCTGGAAGCCCAAGTGACCTCAAGGCCCCTATTTGTGGATTGTAGATGAGTGATTAGCGCAACCATATTGTCTTGGTGATACCACAAGGATGCTGAAGGTGCATTTCTGTTTTCAGCCAAAGGCTGAGGCCGAAGAGGCTTTCTGCGTGCACTGGAAATTCATTGCTGGAAAAGGTGTCTGGGCTCAGGATGGCTGCTTCACCCTCCACATCAACAGCACTCACACAGCCTGCAGCTGCAGCCACCTCTCTACCTTTGCCCTACTCATGGCTCCTGCCCCTGTGGAGGTATCTTTCTTGCCCCCTCAGATCAAAGGCTGGGCTCTGAGCTTAGTATTTGCCCAATCCTGCTTCAGGTGAAGCAACTTCTAAGGCTTTCTCTGAGAATGAACCTCAGTCTTGGGCTGAAGTGTTTGGCGTGGGCTTGATGGTGCTCATCCCTCTGCGCTGCAGGACAGTGACGCCCTGAGTGTGCTCACCTACGTGGGGCTGAGCATCTCCCTGCTGTGCCTCCTCCTGGCCATCCTCACCTTCCTCCTGTGCCGCTCGCTGTGGAACGTCAGCACCGCCATCCACCTGCAGCTCTGCCTCTGCCTCTTCCTCGCTGATCTGTTCTTCCTCACAACCGTCACCTACACCAAAAACCGGGTACGTCGCCCTGCAGGTGAGGCCCAAACCCCACTCACTCTTTTCCTCTTCTAGCCCAGGGCTGGGCTGCACAGCTCTGCTGCCCCTTTGGGATATGGGGCAGGGAAGAGCATGGAGAAAAGCACAGAAAGATGCTTCCCTTTCCACCCTGCACGAGGCTCCTTGAACAGAGTGATTCAAGTTTCTATTCACACACTGAATTTCAGGCCAGGGCTCTCACTGCTCCACAGCAGAGGAACTGGAGCATCGGTAGATTGAGGAAATTGTTCAGCGCCTGGGAATGTGGCACAGAGCTGGGGCCAGAACTTGGATTGCCCAGGCCCCACTGCCTTGCTTTAAACACGGTTCTGTCTCCTTTTTCATGTCAGTGAAGTTAGGTGCAGGACCCCCAGAAACCAGGAAGAGCTCTGCAATCAGAGAGAGATGTGTAATCAGTGTGAACCCCATGATGGGCCTCACTGTCCCCAGCATTTCTCTTCCCACATGCTGTGTCTGAGCTCTCTGTCCCCCCGCAGACCACATGTGCTGTCATCGCTGGCTTCCTCCACTACCTCTTCCTGGCTGCCTTCACCTGGATGTTCCTGGAGGGGCTGCACCTCATCCTCACCGTCAGGAACCTGAAGGTCGTGAACTACACCAGTGCCAGCCAGTTCAAGAAGCGATACATGTACCCCTTTGGCTACGGGCTCCCAGCTCAGGTCGTGGCCATTTCAGCAGCAGCCAACCCAGGTGGCTACAGAACAGAGCATCAGTAAGTGCCTTGTCTCTCCCCAAGGGGAGCTGGCTCCTGATTTACAGTCAGTTGCTTTGGCTCACACTGGCTCTGAATTTATCTCAAACTTCCCAGGAACCCCCTCAGACCTCAAGCTGGCAGTGGGATCCCTCTCCTGCCCCATACTATGAAGCTGCCCCCCCACAGTGCAGCTGAGCTGCACATGTTTAACACACGTAGAGTCCCTGCTCTGATGAGTAGGGGACTATGGAAATCATGGCGCAGGTTGGCTGCACAGTGGCTCTCTAATCTTTCAGGTTCCTCTGTGTACCCCCAGCGCTGATTGGTGGAGAGGCCCCACCACTTGCTCCTGATCAGCGGGGAGGCGAAAACCACAGTTTTAAAACCAGTGTGGTTTTTGCCTCTGGCCAGGGCTTGGCCTGTGGCCAATCAGCAGTGGGAGGCAAAATCCGTGCCATGTTTAACACTGCAGCTCTGCCTCCCTGCCAATCAGGAGTGAACGGCAGAGCCCCTCTGCCAATCAGCAGTAAGAGGGCTCATGGGGGGAACCCGCAAGATTAAGGAGACGTTGTACAGTCCACTTCTGCTGTGACTTCGGTAGGTCCCTACTGATGAGGATGATGACTTGTGCATCTGCAGTAGCCTTGTGCATCTCTGTAGACTCTTGAATGCCCAGCGTAATTGAGAGCAGCCCCTGGTGCTGGGACTGTCGCCAGGACATTCATCTGGAGAGAATCCTGCTCTCTGTCCTGCAGCTGAAACAGGCTAAGGTTGCCATTACCATGCTTTCCTGTTGGGGATAATGCACCTCTTCTTTCTTCCTCCATGTTAGCTGCTGGCTCAGCCTGGACAGAGGCTTTGTCTGGAGTTTCCTGGGGCCTGTCTGCCTTATTATCCTGGTGGGTACAACGCAGAACCACAGGGCCCTGTTCCCCTTCTCTGCCATGTGATGCTGTTCCCCCTCCTATGTCCTTTTTGTGCTCCCCTGGGCAGCAGCATCTGACATTGTCCCCTGGGATTGGTGAGTCCCTTAGCTGGAGCCGTGGTCCCAGACAGGACCCTCATGAGGGGACACATGCTGCTGTGTCCACAGATAAATCTAACCTGTTTCATCCTGACGCTGTGGATCCTAAGGAGCCACCTCTCCTGCCTCAACACAGACGTGTCCACCCTGCGAGACCACAGGTGAGGCAGCAAAAAGCAGTTCTGGAGAATCTGAGCCCTGGGGGTGGAAGCCCCTGGTATGGAGAGAGTGAGGGTGTTTGCTAGGGATGTGCAAAGCTTCAGGTGGTGATTCGATTCAGAGGAGATGTGGCCCGATTCAGAGGCCAAATCTCTGAATCTGAATTGAATCAGGGGACCAATTAAAAGGTTAGAATTGATTCGAAGCTCTCCGAACCTTCAGAAAAAATTCTGAGAGCTTCGATGATTTGGGCAGTCCCCAGTGGCTGTAGCAGGGAGTTGCAGCTGACTCGGAGCTGGTAACTACTAGGGGCAGGGGAGGGAGGGCTGGGGGAGCGGGGAGGAGCCCAGGGGGGGACCCCTGCCAGCCCCCCACAACTTCCCCAACCCTCCTCACCCCTCCCCTCCACTCCCCCAGCCCTGCCATGGTTCCCCCCCCCAGTTCCCAGTCCTTTAAAGAAGAGCCCCAGTGCTCATCGGGTGCTGCCGGGCATGGGGGCAATCCCTGCTGCCCCCCACTGCCCCATGCTGCATGGGGGGCTCTACACGAGCCACCTGATGCCCCACCACCACTCCCCAAGTCCCCCCACGGGTGCCCCGCCAAGGCCAGCTCCAGCCCTTTAAGGAAAAAAAATGGAGAAAAGCCCCAGGATCTCCGAATCAGATTCAGCCGAATCGAATAGGGACAGTGATTTGAATCACTGAATCGAATCACCGTCCCCCGAATCGGACGAATCCAAATTCGAAGCAAATACTAGCTGCTTCGCACAGTCCTAGCATTTGCACAGGGGAACTGTTATCCCTGAGCCCCGTGGCTCAGTCGCTCTCACCAGGTTTGTTCTGATGGGGTCTCTCCACCTGCCTCTGTCCAGGCTGCTGACTTCCAAAGCCATCGCCCAGCTCTTCATCCTGGGCTGCACATGGAGCCTGGGTCTTTTCCAAGTTGGAGCAGCTGGCAGAGTTATGGCATATTTATTCACTATCATCAACAGTCTGCAGGGAGCCTTCATCTTCCTGGTGCACTGCGTCCTCAATCGCCAGGTGAGGCCCAGGGCCTGTACCATCTGCCGTGGCTGTAACAGCCTCATAGCTGTTCCTCCCTCCCCAGGTGCTAGTCCCCTCATTTGTCTGTGTCCCCATGTCGCAGGTGAGAGAGGAGTACCGGCGATGGATGAAGGGACTCCAGACATCTGCCTCCAAGTCTCAGACATCTAGTCTTGAAATGCCCACCATCCCCCCCAGCACCAAGTCGGTAAGTGGAGCTGTGCTGGGTGCCAGCACCAGCCTCTAAGTCTGCTGCCTCCCATCCACTCTCATTATGGCTCTGAGATGCTTTGTGCCTCACTAGCCTAGTCCAGCTTTGTTGCCATTTGGAGCCTTGCGTGTGTCCCCCTCCCGTCATGACCAGCAGAGCAGTGTGTGACTTTCCCAGGGGACTCGACCCTGTCACGTGCCTTCCTTTCAAGGAATGAAGAAGGTGGAGGAGGAGTGGCTCCTCTTGTGCCTGAAGAGGCTCCCTGCTCACGCCCGGCGTCTGGCAGTGCATGGAAGAGGAAGCTGCCGGCTTCAGTGCCAAGAGCTGATTGATCCCTGCTGCCCTCTGGCTTCTCTGTGGATGAGGTGGGCGGGGGAAAGGGAATAGGCTCTAAAATGCCTCATCCTGCTGAGCCCCATTTGAAAAGCCTCAATGCCCACAGCAGAGCCTGCTTCTTCCTGTAGTTGCCTGTTGAGGGAAGAGCCAGCCCCAGCGCCAGTCCCTGCAGACATCAGCCATGAGATGGCCTGCTCAGCCATCCCCATGGAGGCCTTTGCTTCCAGCCATGGCCTTCCTCACACATAGCCATGTGAATTGCTGAACTGGTTCAGACTGCTGAAGCATTCCCAAGCTTAGCAGTAGCAATGCGGTACCATGTGCCTGGCTTAGCAGTAGCAATGCAATACTGTGCTCAGTAACACTTCAAGGAGACCAGGTGCAGCCCCAGCCATCACAAGTTGCCCTGCTCTGACCAAAAGAAGAGGGGAGATGCCATCCCACATTACATGAAGCCCCCAAGGAGATAAGTGTTGCCCAGCACAAAGGGTTACCGACTAGGCAAACAAAACACATGGCTCTTTGTATAAGCATGGATGTCTTGTTGCCAGGCCTAGTACTTCTCCCCACAGCTGTTTTCAACCAGACCCAGGTTATTTTCCTTCCCCTGCCTTGGAACTGTAAATTCAAGGTCTCTGCCTGCTCCACTAAACCTCCACCTCATTACAGGTGATCAAAGTTGTCTCCCTGGTGGTCCGGCCCCATCCCACTAGGTCTCCCACTGTTCCTGAGAGATCCTGTAACAGGCCCTAAGGTTGGAGAGCGAAGTACCTGTGACTTATTGATGAGGGGGCAAACCTTGGTGTCAGTGAAAGGAGATTGAATATCCCCTAAATCCTCCCCATCAGCAGGGACTTAGAAACCCACAAAACAGCAGGTCTGCAGCAATGCAAGAGTTGAACAGCCAATAATTGTGGCAGTGTCCCTAAGGTCCAGAAGATCCTGCACTGTGTTTCTGAGCTCAGTCACATCAATCTGGAATAACTGCACACTCCAGCGGAGCTCCTCCAGATCGGTACCTATGTGACCAAGAGCCTGTTCCCTTATACCAGCTTCTTTCTGTCCTACTTGTAATGCCTGCACATGGCACCCCTCATGCTTTCCTGACCTATAACTGGCAAAATCATGAAATCAGTGCAAAAACAATGCTAGGAAAAATAAACGGCAGAGTCTTTTTCTTGGCTGACTGGTTCCTGAACATTTAGGTTATGTCTACATCATGTTTTTGGGTATACCTGCAAGGGCTAGTAAGTTGTTCTGTTATTGTAATGAAATCTGCAGTCCTTCCCTCCATGCATGTACAGACGTGAGAAGAGGCCTGTAGACAAAACCCAAATATCTTGCAGGTTGGGATCAAATCCTGTGATGCACAGCTGTGGTGATCACTTTTCCACTGAGAGTCTTGCTTCTCCCAAAGAGCTGGTCAATACTCAGCTGTAGCAGAGCTTTTCTCTCTTACACAGGACACACTCCCCACCCATTGGGGCATGTGGTCAGGGTTGATGGCAAGGGAGGAAGAGAGTCACAGGATCGGCCCCATCTACTGCAGCATGAATACGGCACTTGACTGCATCATTCCCTGCCAGGTCCTAACATCTTTGCAGACCTCCCCCATTGGCTGTAGGCCAGGTATGCATAAAGCTCATTTGTTGATTGAGTGTGGGGTAGACAGCCAGATCCTGATTGATGGGCTGGATGGAGGTGTCTAAGCCTGACTGGAGTTTGGGAGCATGGAGCTTCAGAGCAGAGCATGTCCCACAGCAGCCCACAGCCCATGGAGCTGCTGGATTAAATCTCCATTGACAGCAGCACTTCTCCCGTCTATGAGTCACCTCCACCACAGCTCTTGTGCACCATACCCCACCCATGGCCAGTCTGACTGCTCCTAGAACAACAACACTTCCTCATCCATCGGGCACTCTGGCCTTTGCCAAGTGACTCCCAATGCAGCCAGCTACTGCACCAGCCATCCAGAGATGCTGGCACAGGGAATTCATCTTCTGTCTCTGTGGAATCAGGGAGACCAGTGGATGTGGTTTATCTTGACTATAGCAAGGCTTCAGGTATGTGCTCCAACAACATTCTCACAGGCAACCTAAAGAAATGCCGACTGGATGAATGGACTGTAAGGTGGCTAGAGTATTGGGCTCAGAGAGTAGTTATAAATGGCTCAACGTCTAATTGGCAGCTGGTATCAAGTAGAGCACCCCAGGGGTCAGTCCTGGACCAAGTTTTCTTCCATGACCTGGAAGATGGCATAGAGAGCACCCTCAGCAAGTTTGCAGATGACATCAAGCTGTGGGGAGTAGTAGATAAACTGGATGGTAGGGCTAGAATTCAGAATGGCATAGACAGTTTGGAGGATTGAGCCAAAAGGAATATCATGAGTTTCAACAAGGACAAGTGCAAAGTAAAGTCCTGCACTTAGGACAGAGCAATCCCATGCATCAGTATAGGCTGGGGGCTGACTGGCTGGGCAGCAGGGCTGCGAAAAGGACCTGGGGGTTACAGTGGACAGTAAGCTGAATATGAGCCAGCAGTGAGCCCTTGTTGCTAAGAAAGCTAACAGCATCCTGGGCTGCATTGGTAGGTGTGTTCCCAGTAGGTCAAGGGAAGTGATTATTACCCTCTAATCAGCACTGGTGAGGCCACATTCATAGATTCATAGATTGTAGATTCAGAAGGGACCACAATGGATCATCGTGTCTGACCCCCTGCCCCTGGCAGGAAAGAGGACTGAGGTCAGACGACCCCAGCCAGGTGACTATTAAGCCTCCTCTTGAAGACCTCCAAGTTAGGTGATAGCACCACCTCTCTTGGAAACGCACTCCAGATTTTGGCCACCCTTACTGTAAAAAATTTCTTCCTAATGTCTAACTTAAATCTACTCTCCACTAGTTTTCACCCATTCTTCCAAGTTACTCCCTGGGGCACTCTGGTAAATAGCACATCACCAATTCCCTGTTGCCCTACCTTGATAAACTTGTAGGCAGCTACAACGTCTCCCCTCAGCCATCTCTTGTGAAGGCTGAAGAGATCCAGATCTCTCAGCCTCCCTTGTAGGGTCTTACATGGAGGCCACTAATCATGCAAGTGGCCCTCCTCTGAACCCTCTCCAGATTTTCTGTGTCCCTCTTGAAGTGCAGTGCCCAAAACTGGACACAGTACTCCAACTGTGGCCTGACCAATGCCACATAGAGGGAGAGCATCACCTCCCTTGATCTGTTGGTCATGCATCTGCTAATACACGACAAGGTGTGATTGACTTTGTTGATGGCCTCGTTACACTGCTGGCTCATGTTCATCTTGGAGTCAACTATGACTCCAAGGTCTGTCTCAGCCTCTGAGCTGCTGTGGAGGTCATCTCCCAACCTATAGGTGTGCTGGGGATTCCTTCTTCCTAGATGGAGTACCTTACATTTATCTTTGTTGAAATTACATGTGGAGTAATGCTTCCAGTTTTGGGGGCCCCACTACAGAAAGGATGTGGACAAATTGGAGAGTCCAGCAGAGGGCCACAAAGATGGTGCAGGGACTGGGGGCATGACTTATGAGGAAAGAATGAGGGAACTGGGCTTATTTAGTCTAGAGAAGAGAAGACTCAGCGGGGATTGAATAGCAGCCTCCTATTACCTGAAGCGAGGTTCACAAGAGGATGGAGCTAGACTGTTCTCAGTGGTGGCAGGTGATAGAACAAGGAGCAATGGTCTCAAGTTGTGGCAAGGGAAGTTTAGGTTAGATATTAGGAAGAATTTTCTGACTAGGAGGCTGGTAAAACACCAGAACAAGTTACCCAGAGAGGTGGTGGAAGCTCCATCCTTAGAGGTTTTTAAGACCAAGCTAGACAAAGCTTTGGTTGAGAAGATCTAGTTGGTGCTGTTCCTGCTTTGAGCAGGGGCTTGGACTAGATGACCCTGAGGTCCCTTCCAACCCTAATTTTCTATGATTCTCTCTCAGTGTTAACGGACACCATGGAGTTGATTTATCTCTGTGGGTCTCACCAATTCTGTAGAGTATCGTAGGTGTTGTTGTGGAAACACACGCAACATACTTTTGGGTCAGGTCAGCAGAAGCTTTTATTCAAATGAAAGCTACAGCTGTAGGGGGGACTCCAAAGTGACATGGATTTCCCAAGCACTTGGAAGGGGTTCCCCCCTAAGAGCAAAATCAGGAGGCTTATATACTTTTTAACAGTCGCTTACAACTCACGTGATCATATAGTCGAGTTTGCTAGAAAAAAGCAGCTACAAACACTACCTCATTACTTCTTTGCTGTTATCAGGATGAGAACCATGGGGGAGACGAGGTTAGTTCACAAAGTGAGAAATGGGGGAGAACACTCCTTTCTTGCACCTGGAAATCAGAGTTGTACATACTTTTTTTCTGCTATCTTTAAGGCCGCGGTGAGCGAAGCAGTTGCAGAGGAGTTACAAAGAACAAACATTTTCCCTTATCCGTTCTACCTTGCAGAGCCAGCAATTCCCCACAAAGCAGTTATGTCATCTTATAAATCGTATGATCAAAGTTTAAGGCATTTATTTTTTTTCTGATTCCACAATGTGTATGAGCTGGGGGCTGAGGAATGTTTCCATTTCTATAGTGATGCGTCCTGCTTGTTTGTCTGACCCCAGGCATGGAGCTGTCTAGGGACACAGGCAGCGCTGGTGGGGCTTGTCCTCACCTCTGAGCAGCCGCTCAAC